ATAACATTAACATGTGCCGCTTCAATCACTTCTAAGCTCTATTTTTATGACTATTAAAGGTTGAAGCTTTTTTTTTTTTTTTTTTTTTTATAAGAGTAATGGTTAGGTATTAAGAATTAGAAATTAATAACTTACTTTTTGAAAAGGTTCGATCATTAATCGAGATGCATTTCACCGACATTTCTTTAAATTGCAATGGCATTATTGAACCACGACAGGAGAATGTGGTGGAAGTTTAGTCTCGTGTTCTTTTGATGGAAGTTCACAACTAATTAATTAATGCTACTTCCAAATATAGTTGAGTTATTTAAAAAAGAATACGAGCGGGTGGTCCTTCCTCAAAAGAAAAGGTTTAATTCAATTTTTAGTCTGTTAACTATTACCTTAATTTCATTTTAGTCTAAAAATTATGTTTTATTTTTAAGTGGTCTATAACTTTTAGATTCATTTCAATTTTATCTACTTGGTAAAAGATAACGGAAAACTTCCTATTCTAGAGAATTAGTTAGTCCTCTAACTATATTTTTTTTATCTTTTAGTCCTCAAATTTATATTTGTTATAAAAATAATTTTTATACTTAAAATTATTATTTTTAGGCTCTGATACCAAATTTTTATACTTAAAATTATTATTTCTAAGTGGTTTATTAACTTTCAGGCTCTGATACCAAATTAAAGAAATAAGAAAACCCGTATAAAAATCTGGTATCAGAACTTATAAATAATAATTGAAAGTAAAAAATTTATTTTTATAATAAATATAAATTTAAGGATTAAAAGATCAAAAAAAATATAGTCAGAAGACTAACTATTCTCTAACAGAATAGGAAGTTTTCCGTTATCTTTGATCAAGTAGACGAAATTGAAATGAATCTGAAAGTTAATAGATCACTTAGAAATAAAACATAATTTTTAGATTAAAATAAAATTAAGGTGATAGTTAATAAACTAAAAATTAAATTAAGCCTAAAAGAAAGAGAAAAGGTAAAACGTGAAGTTGAAGTCATTAGAATTAACTAGCCTGGAATGCCAGTTAATTTTCAACTTTACCTTTTTTAAGAAAGAACAGTACTAACAGTACACTGTCCATAAGTACATAAAAATAAAGGTTACGAATCGGAAATTTAAGTTCAATACTTCGACTCTAAACTTTAAATACTTGAATAAAGGTGGTCAGAGTTTTAAGTTTTATTATCGTGAATTTTATCAAAAAGCAGTCAATTGACCGCATCCCTTATTTGAGGAGGTGGAATGTTCACCTAGTCTGAGAATCGAATCTCCAAGTGTTAATAACTAATTCAAATTAATTTCTTAACTATTATTTTGTAAAAAAATAAATAAATAAATAAAATAATAAAATAATAAAAAATAAAAATAAAGGCTACTGCTCACAATAATTGAGTTTTTGCTAAGGGTGATTGATCTCGTCAGATCTTAAGGAGATTGATAGTGCAGTGTCTCAACTTGTCATTTTGAAATTAGGGAGTCACAGCGTATACAGAACCCAGGTATGCCTGATTATACATGTAAATAGCCCTAGTATGGGATTTTTGCAACACAAGAACTTACGTCCTTCAAAAGGAAAAAAAAAATAGAAATCTAAGATTAACTGGAAAAGAGAAGTTGAAGAATGATCTCCAAGCAAGGTAACACATAACCACATAAGAAGGGTTGTGGAAGACACCCAAAAATCATTATGGATGGCCTAAGCTAACTTTCCATCTAAAACATGGTGATTTTGTATAAGCAGCCCAGTTTTCCCTGCAAGATCACTCTAAACCTTCAAATTTATTCATTTCAATGAACTGCACTACAACAGAATTACTACATTAAGTGTCCCATAAATTTCTGAAAGCTTAAAAGTCATCATAGAATCTAGTGGATATAGACGCAAACTACTAGAATAGCAGTCATAAACTAATTGGTAGAATAGCATTCACAAAATGCACTTCGCAAATACATTCTCATCTAGTTATATAAGTTTTGTCAACACAAACCCTACAGAAGGTGCAAAGTTTTGCAGTTATAAAATCCTGATAATCTAGAGGATATACACAAAAAGTAATAGAATAGCAGTCATAAAATGCACTTAACAAATACATGCACATCTAGCAATAAAGTTTTGTTAACACAGACAATACTCAAAGTTCAAACTTTTGCAGTTAAAAATATAACATAAGTAAGCCTAGTGCATCCAGAAAAATTTAGAAAAGGCATCCTAATGAAATTTGGTTCCATTTAAAATATAAACATCACCTTGGACCATCATCTATTATTCTTAGCCCCAACTCCACAGTCCACAGTGGATTCCCTTGGACACCTGGCACAAACAAAAAAACATCTATCTATACAAATTTTGTTCAGATTTGAACCCAATAGAGAGATGACTTTGCCCTAAAAACATCAATCAACGGCGGCCACTCCATGATTGGGCAGATGACTTTTGCCTTACTTCAGAGATTTCACAAGGAATGCAGGCATCAGTTTTTCTAGACTAATTTCTGGTAAGGTGTTTTGACTTTATAAGGATTTTATCACTAATTTGAAGAACCTCTCAGTTGTTCTCTGAGAACTCCTAATAATTTAGTTCCTAAGTGCACCGGCAGAAAGTACCAAGAAATTGCAACAAGCATGCAGAAGCTACTCTGCAACACCACAATAGGCCGGTGCAACTTTGTCAACATAGCTATTAATTCCAACTGCTAACTCCCAACTGCATTTTACTTTTCATTTATTGCCTTTCATTAGATTTTGCCCGTAAATAGCCATGTTCTCACCATTGTACGCATAAGTTTTATCAATTAATAAAATTTCAATTCTCCTCTTTTTTGAGTGAGTTTCTTGAGAGTGGATTCTCTCAATTTATTTCTGTATCTTAGGTCTTGCCAACCTAAGTGGTGATCCTGGCAATCGAATTTATTGTAGTAAGATTTTAAATCTCACCAAAATCGATGTTTCGGTATCGGCTCCTACACCACTAAGCATATCAACACTTATCTTTTTGTAATTTTATAGGATGAAAGAGTAGTGTGGAGGGACTTCCCAATGATGTTGTATCTCTCTTGCATGTATTAGGCCGAAAATGCAATGAAGTTACCAAATTTTGAAAAAGTAACAGTAACAAACTGCATGCAGAGTTTTCTTAAGAGGTTAAATTTAGAGGAGGATAAAGCTGAAGAAGGGAGCTGAATCACTTTGTTTGGAAAGAAGATCTTCATTCGTTAGAGGTGGCACTAAACCAAAGCCCCACCTTATCATCTGATATGGTATCTTTCCCAAGCATATGATGAGGTGCGGCTTCAATTTAATCCCAGCTCTAATGAACAAAGATCTTCTTTCCAAACAAAATGATCCAGCTCCCTTTTTTAGCTTTATCCTCCTCTGAATTTAACCTCTTGAGAAAACTCTGAAGGCATTTTGTTACTTCTTCAAATTTTGGTAATTTTATTGGATCTTCTGCTCAAATCTTTGGGAAGTCCCTCCACCCTACTCCACTCATCCTGCAAAATTACAAAGAAATCAGTAAAATGCTACAATTGTTGATATACTCAGGAACTGATTGTTAGGAGTACCCAGAGAACAACTGAGAAGTTTTTCAAATTAGTAATCAAGTCACAAGCCTAAATTCTTATAAAGTCAAAACACATTACCAGAATTTAGTCTGTGAAAACTGATCAAATGCAGGTATTACATTCCTAGTGAAATCTCTAAAGCAAAGCTCACAAAAGCCTTCAAATCCATACTGCTAAGATAGATGCTCTATAAGTACCTTTCAAGTGTATCACCCCACATCATTTCAGTAGCAAGTAGCAATCATCATAGCAGGCTTGACTGCAGCACTAATGAACTGTTCTAGCATTCAGCTCTCAATAAGGAGCATAGAATCATATATGCTAAATAAAAAGCTAAAGTAAGTGAAAATGCAAGGAGAGATTTATTAAGTATTTAGGCTAAGATTCACTAATCTACAAGCAAAACTAAGCACCTTAACAATATTTCCACGCTTCAATCTGGATAGCAATAACACTTCCCAAATTTCTCTTTTTGATTTTTTTTTTTTTTTTGGTTGATGATCTGCCAGTTGAAACAATCTTCACAGCAACTCTATTGGATTAATATTTGGAGATATGTCGACAATAAGCACCTATCACAATAACAGATTTTCCTATTCTAGCTCAGTACAAGAGAACCATTTTAAACACAATTTTAGAAGAACATAAAGCACATAAATAGGCATGCTAACAATCATGATGCCATGGACATATGCTAAATATATGTCTTATGTCAGAACTGTCATTACAGTTCGCAACCAAGAAACCATTACTTTAAAAAATATAAAGAGTAAATATCTGCCTTTTACCATACACCATCACAAATCACGAATGCAATAAATGGAACAACAAGCATATTTGAGTTGACATGGATGAAACCAATGTTTTAAAAACCGGACTGGACTGGCTGATCGAACCAGTCAGACCGACACCTGGTAATATAAACAAGTCAGATAAGTGTTTAGCCATTCAAAACCAGTAAAACTGCTCAAACTGATGTAAACCATCAAACTGTTCAACAGGACAGTTTAAAGTTTTTGCAAAATTTTCTTTAATTTTGTACCCTCCAAGGCTCGAACACAACACTTTAGAGAGACTTTCAGTTACCTCCACCACTAGAACATGACCTGTTGGATTGTAAAAGTTTGCTTAAAATTTTATTTATTTTACTTT